ACCAGCAAGCAACATTCCTTTGAAGTTCATTCATATTTTCAGGATAATTTTCAACAGTATCTTCTGGATATCAGAAGATGCAAAATGTGCTTCTCGAAACTGCACTCCAGATACTGTATGGAATAGAGATCAATATTCTGTAATAATCTGTGCTCAGAACGGCATTAACAACAGTGATGTATAATCTGATTACAAACAATTAATCCACTATCCTCTTTCAGAAGTGCATTGCACAATTTCATAGGATCATGGAATCACAGAACAGAGTTGGAAGAGACTGTTAAAGGACAGCTAGTCCAACCTCCCCTACAGTGAGCAGGGACATCTTCAACTAGACCAGGTTGCTCAGAGCCCCATCTACCTGACCTTGAATGCTTTCATGGACAAAACTTCTACCACCTTTGTGGGCAACCTGTTCCAGTGCTTTACCACCCTCAATGTAAAAACTTTTGTCCTTATATCTACTCTAAAATCTCCCCTCTTTTAGTTTAAAACCATCACCCCTTGTCCTATTGCAACAGGCACTGCTAAAAAGTCTGTCCCTATCTTTCTAATAAGCCCTCTAAGTATTGGAGGGACACAATGAGGTCTCCCTGGAGCCTTCTCTTCTCCAGGTTGCACCACTCCAACTCTCTCAGCCTTTCTTCATAGGAGAGGTGTTCCAGCTCTCTGATCATCTCCATAGCCCTCCTCTAGACCCCCTCCAACAGGTCTATGCCTTTCTTGTACTGAGTACTCCAGAGCTGGATGCAGTAGTCCAGGTGAGGTCTCACAGTTACTCAAAGCAATAGAGTTTATTATAACAGTGTTATTTCAAAATAAGAGAGATGACCAGTCTTCTGTCACTTTAGTCCACGTAGGAATAACCAAAGAAATCACAAAAGTCTTCAGGAAAGCAACAATTTTACCTCTGGTTTAGCTCTCCATAGTTTTCAGTCAAAAAAAAAAAAAAAAAAAAAGAATCTATCCTACCTAGATTGACTAGCCTTTCCATAAAATGTGAGGGTGACTTTTTTAAAATACAGTAATTAAGAGAATTAAATAGACATCTGTGGATAACAATATGCAAATACCAAGTGTTTCACAGGAACAGGTAGCAATGCACATAGAAGGCACACTGGTCTGCCCAAGGAAAGTGCATTGTGTTTCCTCTCCTCCACCACCAGTTTCAACAGCATGCCTTAGCATGATTCTTGACATTTTTAGCTTTCATCATCTATCCACTAAAGAAGTCTTAATTTACATGCATTTATTTTCTCTTCTGCAGCCAGGCTGCTGAGAACTTCTCAAGAAAGTCTACAGAATCTACATACTTCCTCTACTTGTCCACTTAACTTTTCCAATTCCATTTCAAAATCGAGTTTGGCTTAAAGGTCACATTTGGCATGAAAGAGAATTAGGTGATACTGTCACATCTATTAGTAGGGGATTAGACTTCATGAGTCTAACATCCTCTTCTATCTCAACCTCTAATTCAACTTTTACTTTCATTAGCCTGTCCTAAATTCTCTCTTCCACACTGAACAAAGAGAAGTTCTAATTATTTGGAACACCCTCCTCTTCTGCTATGGTTCTCATGCTATGTGTTTTTACAAAAACATATCACATTCAGCCTTTCTCTTCATGACATCCACATCCTCCTACTACTTTGTTCACTCCCTCTTCAGGGTTCATTTGGCATGAAACCAAATATTCTTCTTTGTCTAGCCCTATCCATTAATTTGAGAAAACACTAGTAGAATACCTTCCTATTTCCTCTGTTGTACTTCCCTCTGGATTCTTCCTAACTAGTTCTTTAATCTGCTAAAGTTATCAATACCACAAACACATTAAGGAATTTCTGGATCCATGTTTCTTATCTCTCCATGCTGATGTCATATGTTCCTAGATGACATTCCCAAGCCAAACAAGTTTCTCCATTACTTCTCATCCTTAACTTCAACCTACCATGTTTCTGAGAATTTTGAACTCTTCTATTAATCTGAAACTTTCATCTCTTTTCAGGTTCAGAGCTCTAACTGCCTGTAGAGGAGCAATCATTCTGGAAAAAAAAAAAAATCGGTATAGTGAAAACTAGATATATTACATTTTATTCATCCAGTTTTAAAGTCAAAAATCTCTACAGCCAATTCCACTATTCCTAACTTATACTAAAATCCAGTGTCTTGGAACTTAGTATCTAAGAAGCCATCAAATTCTATGAGTTCTTATATCAGTGTTTCCAAAATACATTGTCTTCCTCTAAAACATGGCATGCAACTTTCCATACTTTCACCATTCGTCATGTGAGGACTATTCTACTGCTTCCTTGTCTACCCACTATGCTTGTTGCCTCACTACTCTTGAGTTCATTCAGAAAAGGACATTTTCTCTTCTTTACTTCTTAAAACTCAGAGCTGCTGTTTTTCATCAGACTTTCCACCACTGGATTTTATTGTCCTTTCCATTAATTACTTCTTATTTCTTATCCTTAAATCTACATGATACTTCCATACCTGTTTATTTCTGAAATATGTATTTTCTAACTCTCACTTTGATGCTTTACTTTGCCTGCTGTACTAGAAGCTTGTAAAGCCACCATGCAGCCTCTAATCAAATCCCCACTTAAACAATCCCCTTATTTTGAGCTCATTTAAATACACAAAATTAAAAAGAGAACAAGTATCTCATATCACCTGTAAGTCTACAAGAAACAGCATTCTCCAAACTCCATATATCTATGGAAGAAAACTATGCACTTATCTTCCAGTCATAATACTAAAAATAATTATTAAATTGAAAAGAAATGTTCTCATTGATTAATAAGTCTGAGTTATAACAATGTTATCAACTGGTTCTTTGTAACTCGGATATTTCATGATTTACTGATATAAACTTTGTTTACAATTCAGCCTTATTTTTTCTTTATTGATTACACCTTAGCCTGTTAGTTTCTGTCTACATGTGTAAACTCCTTGACTTTCTCTACTGTATCATTTAACATTTTAGTGGAAAAAAAACCAAACCAAAACAACCTAAAGAAACAGAAAAACACAGTTTCCTTTTCTGAAGTAAATAAAAACATGCTTTCAGACAAGGCTGCACCGTCAGTTTCAGTTGCAGGAATTCTACTAGTCTAAGAATTAGTACTGCTGTCTGTAGAATAAAAACAGTATAACTACATCATTTTTAGGTAATTGTTTCCTAAGTTGGATTCCACTTTGCCTCCTCCAAAAATAATAATCAAATGTGTATTGGGTCTAGCTGAGATGACTTTCCCATTTGCAGCCCTCCTGATACAGTGCTTTTGTGTTGGGAGTTAGAAGGGTGTTGATAGCACCCTTCACACACAGCACCAAGGCTCTTTCTAACATTCCCCCCTCAGTGGGATGGGGGGCAGGAGCTTGGGGGGAACATAACCAGAACAGCTGGCCCAAACTGACCAAAGGGATATTCCATACCTCTTCTGATAAACACTTGCCCAACTAAAAAGGATATTACCATCAACAGGCAAAGCAGCAGTCAAAGTCCTCCCTTCACTCTTAAATCTTATACCAGCAACCCAACATGCCAGACCACTGGATGAATGAATAAGCCAACACATTCACTCACAGCACAGATACACAGAAGGGGGTGAGCTGACTCCTGAACCATGCCATGGGAGATGGAAGGACCCAGGTGATCAGTCCAATCACACAGTAACTGCCTGGAGAGAGACTCATCATCTTGCCCTGCCATCCTGTGAGCTCTGCTTGCTATGAAGAGTCACAGAGCCCTTTCAGTAGCCAGAATCCACACACAGCAAACACACACACTACATTAACAGATCTCACAAGCTAACTGCAAGCAGTCAGTTCTTATAGAGGTGGCTTCTTGCCCTGCCTCGAAGTTAATGTGGAAGGTGGGGGCGCCTGGTGGTGATCTCCTCATCAGTTCCCACCCAAGGCTGGCCAGACCCTAGGTGAAAACCAGTCAGGAGGGTCTTTCTTGTCTGGTTGTGGACATCATCCATATGCCAACTCTCATTCAAGGCTGTGGGTTTAACCCAAGGACTTCAATACCATATGATGCTAGCTCAGCTATAAAGCTAGTACAAAGGAAAGGAAGGGGGGAGCTACTCCTTGGTCCTCTGGAGCAACCACTGCATGCTTTGGTGCCCTGCTTCCCAGGAAGGGTCCAGACATCACCTGCTGATGGGAAGTGGAGAATAAATCTTTGGTTTTTTTTCCTTCACTTCTGCATGCAGCATTGCTTGGCTTTTGCTTTCTAATTAAAATGCCTTTGTTTTTACCCAGAAGGGGTTTTGTCTCCATCTTATTTTCCTTTCCCCTTTTGCTCTGCAGGGGAGGGAGAGGAAAGGGTGATGGAGTGGCTTGACGGGCACCTCTTGCTCTTGCCAGGGTTAACCCAACACAAAATGTTATTTTTGCACATTACCTGTATATATACTACATTCATTAATCTGACATGACAATTTGAGACAACAAAACAAGACACTACTTGTAAAACACAGACAAGTTTCACATTAAAATGCCCAGGTTTAGGCACGTATGTCAATACTTTGCAAACCAGGTAAAACCACCCTGATTATGGAAGTACAAGCAGCCTCTCATCCCATTAACTTCCAAGGAATCTATACATACCAGGCTTTATTTAAAAAAAAAAAAAAGTAAATTCATTTGTATGAAGAAGTCTAAAAAAGCACTTACATACCCAACTTTCAGCTGCTTAATGTAAAAGCAGATATTAACATACTAATTAAGAGTCTAAATTCTGGAATATGATGACAGGTTTAAAAAACAAAGAGCCATGCAAAGCTGTTCATATTTGAAACCTCCTTTTCCTGTAATCACGTCCATGTGCCAGACATCAAAGTACAACATTTTCCACTGATACTCTGCAGTTCAGACGTACTTTCACTGGTGCCACAGCCTGGCTTTGTCACAATCCGAGCCCATTTTTGCTACATGATTAAACCAAGAAATACCACTTTAAGTTGCAACCTTTAAAAATCAACTAACCTTTCAGTACTGAAGTTGGAACAAGAAAATTCAAAAATCCCATGACTTTGAGCTGAAATTACTTGTTGAATTTAAACAGCTGGAGGGGGAAGGGAGACATATCTGAAGGAAGTGTATTGAGGGCAGCAGGACTCCCCTTAGGAGAGAAACAGAACAGTTAGTGAAAGGAAACAGGATTAATAATGTGAGAACAGTGTCTACAAAATAAAAAGGGGATAAAAAGAGAAAGCAGTAATAAGTCTTAAAAGAAAGTGGAACAGAAAAAGCAAAGAAAAGCAAAGGAGTAGAACTGGTGATGCTCCAAGGCTTTTTGTAGAGTCTTACCTCTAAACCTGTAATTATTTGCCTCTGATTAAAGTGTAAAACACTGTGAGAGGTATGTTATTACAGAATAAACTGACATGGGAGATTTGGGAGTCTCATATAAGGCTGGCATAAAGAGTCACTCAAACTGGGAACAGTGAGATCCTCACGTGTTCTGACGACAGCTATTTTGACAAGGGGACATTAAAACCCGCAGTTGGATGGGACACAACAGTAACCCCAGACACAAAGGATGGCAAGTAGTGTTTTTATATACAATACTGGTGTTTTAGTCAGCATTACATTTCTGCCTATCTCATGTGATCAATCTACCCATATTAATGGCATTTCAAATTTATGCTGGAGTGTCATTCAGCTTCTCAAGACCAGGCAGATATCAAGCACTGTTTCAAGCACTAAGTGAAGCACCATTCTAAATACATGACACCTGTTTGGAAGCACTTATAAGAAAAAAATCATTTATTTTCTAAAAACTAAGATGCAAGCACTATTTCTAAGGAAAGTGCTACCTTCCTGGTAAAGCACAAGGTTAAGATCCAAAATATGCACATCCACTAAATGCTAGGATCGTCTAGGACTTACTTTTCATAATTGCATCCTTGTACAAAAAAAATTGTGTTGGTATTTCAGCTTGCCATAACATGCTTTCATTTTATTTCCTAAGCACTGATGTGAAGATTTCCACACTTTTGCAGTATACGTCTCCTGCTGCTCATCGGTTATGGGTTAGCATGGCTAGTAAGAGTCAGCTTGTCACCACGGGAAGAAATGTTAGAACCAGGGTATCTTTATACTGGGTAAGAGATAACCCAACAGGAAAAGCGTGTGCATGACCTATATGGCAGCTGCAAAGTGAAAACCGGTTTAAGTAATTCCACTATTCGCAATGCAGAAGTATTGAAGTGCTATCATTACTGCACTAAAAACGTTATTCTAATAATTTCCATGTGCCTTTATGTAAGACAAACATTATATTTTACTTGATTATTAGCTATGTAATACTCCTAAATAGCTAGAAATTATACAATGTTAGTATTGCACATGTCCCTCATAGACATGACTTATTTTTGAAAAAGAAGTCCGAGGACCAAGTCCTAACCAAATGGCTACAAAAGGCTCTCACCCACTTCTTTTCTATGATGGGAGAAACTCCAACTGGATTTGTGAAAGATAGGAAAAGTTTATGGTCACTAGGGTCAGAGCAAAATGCCAACAAACCAACCTCTGTTTGTGGAAAGGATGTAGAGTTATTGTGGGAAACATTTGAATCAGCAAGTTGCATTTGTGCTGAGACAGAAACTGTATTATCACTCCATTTATTTAGTGTACTTCCCCAGACATTTCTAGGACAACTTACTTCTAGAAATGCTCCCTTACTGTGCACTGTGCACTGTAAGGTGGAATATGAATGTATAGCTCATGTAACTGGCAATTGTAATCAAACATTTTTTAAAAAGGCCATTCATCTCACCATCATTGCCTCACTGAAAGGAATCATTATTGCATAATTTCCTTTGAAGATAACAGGAAGTCTTGATCATTACTTCAACACTGGATTTGGTTCAATGGTTTATTTCATTTTCTTATAAAAAACTCTAATTATCTAGTGGTATGTTTTGCTACTATGTAAACTGCATGTTATGATGAAAGCATTTAATTTACTTAGCATTAAACATTTAGAATATGACACAGATTTAGCATCTTGCAGTTATGCCAAACTATGTGGAGATGGGGGTGGAAAATGAAGTAACATGAAATAAGCTTGACAGAACTGTTGAGGACATTGAGAGCAAGCAACATGCCAACTTTTTACATGACAGAAACTTGAACAATTTTCTGCCCAAAAGTGAAGACAGACTAAACAAAAAAATACAGTTTCAGGATGCTTCATATCCTCATTCATACTGTCCATAAAGTATAAAGGGGCCTGAACAAATACTCTGAAAGAAAACCTCATAATTTTTTCAAACAAAAATACTTTTCACACTGTTTTCCTTATAATTGGAGGGGAGAGAGATTCCCATTTACAGAAGTCCACTGTTTATTATGAACATACAGCCAGAATCTACACAAATAAATTCTTGACTTACGTGATAACTTTTCAGTCTAACAAAATCAACTTTCATGGAGATGAATCTTTCTGAATTTCTGCTGAGATTTTTAATGTGCTCCACAAGGTCAGCACAGAACTTGTAGCCACCTTTGAGGACACAGAGAACCACAATATCATTGTCTCCAATGTCTTGCATAATGTCTTTGGCCAATCGTTCTGTCCTGGGACAAAAAAAATTAAGGATAGAATAATATTAGATAGCAGACTGTCTATGTTGATTGTGCACTTTCCACGTGGTTAGGAAGAAACCCTACAGAGGGGTATACAGCTTGACAGACAGTCTAAGCGTCTTGACTTGACTGGGTTTGGATCAAGCTCACAGTAGGCTTGGATGCAAGATGCCGATCATGGGAATCAAACTGGTTGACCTTAAATGCATGCATTTAAGAGCACTTACAGAAAAGGGAATATCTCAGCATATGTTGAATTCGTAAGCTTGTCAGCAGCTCTGGGGTAAAGAATGCAAATTATCCTTCAGTTTTACCCCACAGGAAACAGCAATATAAAATATTCCTGTAAAATCCCCTAATGTGTTAGGTCAGCTACTATGTAAGAGAAAATAAATTAAGTTAAAGATAGGGAATTACTATAAATATTTCTCACTGATAGGCTTATAGGCTTATAAAGAAATATAGCATCCACCAAAATTTTATTAAAAGTGTAATTATCATTAATTCTTACAGCAAAAAAGAAGACAACAAAGAGCTTAAGTGACTTGTTCATGGTCACACATCCATGGTTATGCTCCAATGAACGAAAGCTGCAGAGTTCCCATATCTGTGCCTTCTCTTTGATGATTGTGCATTGCAAACACAGTCTGGCAGATGATTGAACCCAAAAGATACACATTTCTGCCAAACAACAGAATACACGTTTTCATGATAAAAATAAACATGAACACTTATCTTAAATCACTTTGCTTTCTAAAGAACAAGGCAGATGGCATTTCTAGACCTCAAATAGGGTACCAGGCCACTTCTAGATGTAAAGGAGGTATCAGCAGAAACCGAACAATGTTCTTTGATGTTTTGAGGAAAATCAGCTCAGTGCATTATTTTCTGTAAATGTTTTCACTGGAAAGTTTTTTGATAGCTCTCTGAATTAGATTAGTAGTTTCAATGACAGGGGTCTTTGTGACAGGATGCAATTTATTAAATAATCCCATAATTTATCCCACGTCTTTCATGACTACATTTTTCTTATGTTCAAAACTACCATTTCCATTTTGTACCATTTTCCTAAAATTTTTAACAGCTTGTCAAAATAGTAAGTGAGCATGAACTACCACAAATACCAAAGCACCATCCAATGCCCACACTGAGGGCACACAGGAACTGCTACAAGGTAAGGAATGAAGGATGATCAAGCTTTCCCACACCACCCTTCAGACCTAGTATCAGCACCAAACCAGCCCATGACACACTTTTTGGTTGTGCTGAATGGTGGAAGTCAACAGTGTAGTCAGGCACCATCAGGTTAATCAGCATTAATGATCTACACTAGGGAGCTGCCAAAGTCATAGAATCATAATAATTGTATGTAGTTTTTTCTCCTTTTTGTATTAAAAACACAGAATGGTTAGAGTGCAAGTGCGACACTCAAGTGTAACTACATAAGAAGCTTTATACTTGCTTTATATTTTCACCTTCAGTTCAGCTTTCTTGTAATTTACATTCCAATGCCAGTTCCACTGTATGATCACATTCTCCTTTCAGTGGGACCCCTGTCTTATTCAATGGCCAAATCAGAAATTGGGTGAAAGAAATCAGAGAGTGAGTTGCAAAGGCAACTACAAGTCTAGCATTCCTAACCATCAAGCATTAATTTACTTTCCAAATTAAATAAATAAAAATATTTTGATAATTGCTAACACAATATTTTAGGAAAAAGGTTACATACACATCTTCTTCAGTGGAAGACAGGCTTTATAAAAAAGAATAATACTACTGACCCAAAGATTTATTTAATAACATTCAAACTACACATACCTGTCAACAATAATGCCGTGAGGTATGAGCACATATTCCAGATCTCCATAGTAGTGCTGAGGATAAGTGAATAAATCCAGGCTGTATCCTGGCCAATTGTCTGAAATCTGCAGACCAAATTGTACTGTTAAGAATACTTCATGATGTTTGACAGTATGTAACTGATATAAAACCAGTGCTCTAGTACACTCTGTTGGCCAAATTAATCATATGCCATACTCTCTTCCAGTTATAAATTACAATTTTATTTACTATTAATTATTTTGCTTCTCAGTCAAAGCGCTACAGTTTTTTACCCAGAGTATGTGGGAAATTTCACCTGAAATTACCAACCACTAAATAGAATGAGAACATATTTAATACAAAACCAGTGGCAAGACTAAGTTTCTTACTACTTTCAAAAGGGGAGAACAAACTACGTGGCTCATGGACGGTATCTGGACAAGTCAGTGAAGACTGTTCTTGCCAAAGGTGAAGTTCTTAATTTAGATAAATCATCAAAGATGAATGATTACAAAATGTTCACATCTCACCTCGCTATCAATTAGTCTGTAAATCCACGCTTTTACAGAAAAAGTATTTCACAGTTTTAATATGTTAGTTTCATAAGGACCGGTACACAGCTCTTAGGAGATCTCACAACATACAATGGCAGAAGCGACTAAGTAGGGCACAGATCAGCCACCAGGCAAAGGCTTCAGAAAGCTACGAAGGTGCAGAGTCATCAGCACAGGAACTGAACAAACTTCAAACCAACAATTTTTACAATTCCTTATGAAAGGTTCACAAGGTATTTTACAATCATTAGAAAGCTTTGCTTCAATATTGGTTGGGGAAGGGACACCTAATAGTACTTTTTTAGAATCACATTCTTCAAGTTACATGTTTTCTCTCTTCTTTCTACAGCTTGGCCACATGAGCCTTGAATAGAAAGATAAATGGTGAGAAACTTACCTTTGCAAAGTGCATGTCTTAGTGGCATTTCTGCTGAATATTGCCTTTAAAGGACCACTGCTAAAACTAACCTCTGCTGCATGTACTAGCAATGAACTACGTATACAAAAATATCTAAGCTGACACAACACTTTTAATGTTGAGCTCTTCCTCCACATCCAGTCTGATGAGACAATGCTCTGCCTCATGAATTTTTGATAGGTTAGGATTTTTTTACATATTCTATTCATTGATACCTAAAGACACCTGGACTGTTGTGCTTTCTTAACTCTGCCCAACAATTTCTGTAGGAAAATAATGGGTTTTGGTAACTACTGCTGAACATTTGCCCCTAAAGAGCATGGCTTGATCACTGGAATCAAGGAAAGCTTTTCCCCTCAGAACTACACAAAACTCAGAACAAAACTCAGAACTACACAAAAGAAAAAAGTTACTTATTTTTGGTTCCTCATTTCCATAGAAACAGGACATTATAAATATCATCCTTGCCGAGGTTTGTCAGTAAAGGCAAATCTTGCTCCAAAAACATTGCTGCAGAAGGCCTGGGAAGCCTATTTTCCCATCCATGTTCGCAGAACATAGGGCCGTCTGACACTTTTAAAACATTTTGTAGCAATGAACTGTCTGGCATAGTTTTGCTCAAACGCATTTTAACAGAAAATGAAACAATGTCAGATAGTACTTTAAATTGCCTAAGCCCTGTAAACACTCAGTAAGATGCCTCGTCACTATTGCTTACTTATGCATTCTCCTCAAATCACAGGGTTTTAGTGTCCTGCAGAAGATGAAACTAAATGCATGGAACCTGCTTCAGAATCCATACAAACCAGGGGCTTTTCTTAGGTTACAATAAGCCCTTTAACAAACAGGATCAGGGTGAAATTTTTATTCTTCTATCCATACTTCTGGTTCTCTTGAATAAAAGAACATTAATTGCATTACTTTGTAATAATACAGAAGTTCTCATTTACAGGCGCTCACTGACATTTGACAAATAAGATTAAATTCACACACACTAATTAACTATTTTTCTAACATAATAAGCCTATTTCATATTCTTCTTTCTTTTAAACAGGCACTTCCCAACAATAAAGCTTAGAAACTCTCATTTACCCTAAAGCTATTCACACCATTATGCTATAGGACAATTTTCAAGTACCTGTAAATTTTTATGAGTATTCTGCTTCTGAATTAAAAACAAAACAAAACAAAACAAAACTGTGATTATCCTCAGTTTAACAGCTAAGCATCAAAAAAAATATCTGCCCCATATTAAACTTGACTTCTATTTACTTCCGGCTTTAGCCCTTAAAAATATGAAGGAAATATTTATTGTTTTTTCAATAAAAGGACAGTATTCACCTGGATAAATACATATACTAAACATATTGGTACATGAATGTGTAAAAAAAAAAAAAAAAAAAAAGTCCTAGAGTGAAAGAAAGAGCTATTTTTAAAATTCAGGCTTGGCATGTCCAAGCAGCCTAGCAGAAATTCTTCAGTATGTCTTAAAAAAGTTGATGTGAATGTATACAAAAAGGAACAAAAATACATGGCAATACCCAAAAGCGTTCCCTTGAGGCATGAGAGAAGCTGGAGACATGTAATTCCAATGCCTTTGCAAGAACATTGGTAGCTTTGTTCCCTGGCAAAGTGGGGTACGTGTCAGGTTTGAGCACAGTACTCGCTGCAAAGCAGCAACGATCTGGATTCTGCTTTGGCAGAATAATAAGAGAGCAAGCATCAAGCAAAGTCCAGCTCTTGTGAACTTCTATCATAGCATGTTTGCCTTACTTTTAGTTGATTTTTTTGGAGGAGCACTTGCACACATCTGTGTGTATCAAGCAGAAAAAATGAAATCAGTAGAGCACAGCACAGTCACAAGCATTCGTCTCCTTTGCAGTATCCTCACGCTGCTTTGGCACTAAACACAGTCACCCACTTCAACAGTGTCATTTACTGAACAGGTGCCAGGAGAGGTGGTTGATGCGTGGTGGTTTCAGACACAGCTCAAACACAGAGCGACAGGTTTGGAAGGGTGATGGAGAGAATGCTGACATGGATGGGGTGTAACCACCACCCTCACAGAGCGCCCAGCTCTGGGCCACGACCTCGGTGCCTGTTCTGCAACTTAGTTATAAATCCCAATGCCACAACAGAATAAGAACAGGCCCAAGGTGGTGGCAGTATTTGCCTCACAGGAGTATCTAGTTTGTCCCTCAGAACACGGCGTGCATCCGTTCATTTCTGCACAATGGATTCAGGCCCACAGGTATGCCAAGCAGGCTGCCAAAGTTGTGGCTTTCCCCACCACATAAGGGCAGCCTAGCAGCGCGCTTTTACAGCGCTCCCGGAGCTGCAAAGGCCTCTGAGCACTGCGCTGGGATCCCTGGGGATCCCGCTCTCCATCACTCCGGCAGCCCGTTGGAACGCACAGCCCCGGCCCAGGCCCCGGCCCGGGATAACTCGGGACCGCAGCGCCACGGAAGGCACCTAAAGCTCGCTGATGCCTGGGGAGCCG